TGGATGAGGCCTTCGCCTTCCAGGATGATGCATCTGCCGCCTCCTCTGACCCTGACTCGGCCTCCTATGCTGGGGCAGATGATGAGAGACTGTACAGCGGAGAGCCCCACGCCCAGCCCACCACCCTGCTCCAGGACAGCCATGACGTGGTCTCAGCCTGGGGCCTGGAGTCTGCTCCGAAGGTCTCTGAGGAAGAGACCAGCTGTACCTCCAAAAGTCAGGAACCCGCTGCTGTAATAACTGGCGTGGGCCCCACTTCAGGCCTGGCATCTGCTGCTGCTACAACCCCTCACACCCCGAAGAAAGCCCCAGTTCTCTGTAGGGCAACCTCTCAGGTCTGGGGGGAAGAGGCGGGCTCCAGCCTAGGACCGGTGCCTGTTGCCACAGCCACGCCTCAGCTCCTGCCAGTGGGACACAGTGCTGCTGTGGGCCAGGAGCCTGAGGCTGTACAGGAAGAGGTGGACTTCACACCGAGTCCAGACTCTCTGCAGGACTTGAAGGAAGAGGTTGAGAGGCCTGATGCTATGGTCAGACCTGATCCCCAGCCGAAGGAAATGGGCCTCACCACAGCCCAGGACCCTGTTTCTGGAGCTACATCCACCCCCCAGCAGGATACAGGCCTCCCTCTAGGTCAAGTACTGCAGAGAGTTACAGGCTGCTCACCAGGGAAAGAGACTCTGGCTACCAAGGCCCAAGGGGAAGGAGATGGGGCTGAGAGACAGAGGTCAGTACCTGAGGAGAGGGATGCAGGCTGCAATGGAGGCCTAGAGCCTTCAGCCTTGCATCGGGCCCAAAAGGATGGCCCAGAGCCAGCTGCAGACTCTGGGATACCCAGGGTCTTGTGGAGAAATGGGGATACCCCAAAGTCTGCCGTGGAGATCCTGGACCTTTCTGAGCCTGCCTCCGGAAGGCCAGATGTAGTTGAAGTTCTGCCAGTGCCCAAGCAGGGAATCCATCCAGATACCCTCATACCCACAGCTGCTAAAGCCCCGCCACTGAGCGAGGCTCTGGTGCCTGACAACCAGGAGAGGAATGTCCTTGAGCCAGTAGCCCAAAGCACTAAGGAGGTTCCCAGGAGCAGCAGCGCAGGTGTCTGTCCTGCTGAGGTCTGCCAGGCATGGCCCCCAAGTCCAAAGGTGGAGGATATAGCAACCCCAGGATTTCCCACAGCTGTGACCTCAAGTATATGCCTGGGAGCCTCCCCAGAGTCTCCATCAAGGGCTGTGCGCAGGCCAAGCAAGGACTGCCCCAAAGACACAACCCCCGTGTCTCCACTGCCCTCCCAGCAACCAGCGCCTGTGCTGGGCCCAGGCGGTGGAAAGCAGGTTCAAGAGGCACTTGGAATCCCTGGGCATTCCCCAGTGAGGACCCCAGAAAGCCCCACCCGGCCCCTACCCAGTGAGCCCAAGGGTAATAAGCACCTGGGTTCTGAACCCTCTGTTCCTGCTCTCCTCACAGGGGCAGCTCCAGCCCCCAGTGGACCCCCTGCCCCCTGCCTTTACCAGGGTCCCCAGGAAGACTCAGTAGAGGGTGAGGCGCCCCCAAGCTCCCCAGATCTCCTAAAACCCCAAGGAGTCATCCAGGCCATAGGTACTTTCTCGAGAACCACAAACTCCCCCAGGGCTGAGCAGCGGGTTGGCCTCTCACCCCACTCCCACCCCAGCCTCAAGGTGGCCCCTACCGGGGGCACCCATGCCAAAGACTCAGCCTCTCAGATCTCGTCCCCCTGCCAAGTGCCTCCTGGCTCTGGGCCCCAGAGCTCAGTTGGCCCTCGAGGACTCCCAGCCTCGGAGCAGCAGGATGACCAGGACAGCCTGGATGAAGGTGAGGGGTGTGGGCACCCTGCTGGAGCGTGTCTGAACAGAGACTTCAGTGGGGGGGTGGGGGAGGGGGGGCTAGGCAAGCCTGACCTCATCACGGTGCAGGGCTAGAAGACAGACAATCCTTATACCCTGTCCCCAGATTCACCACAGGCCCCAGGCTCAGGCCAGTACTCGGACAGCCACGGGGACTCGTCAGTCGAGCTGGAGGAGCACGACCTATCAGGACCTCCGACGGCACAGCGCCCAGCCCAGGTGCCCAGTCTAGGGGGGAGGACGCACCTTGGGGAGGGCTACACAACCGACCCATGGTGCTGACTCCCCCCCACCTCCCCAGGCCCTGGCAGGTAGCAGCAGTGAAGAAACATTCACCAAAGCCAAGCAGAGTCGCAGTGAGAAGAAGGCCCGGAAGGTGGGAGTGGGGAGACCTGGGGGGAGGGATTGGGGGGTTTCGAGACACCACACACCCCACAGTAGTAAGCAGGTCCCACCAGTGGTGGCCATGGGCAAATGCAATAACCAGAACACCTCTGTAGTAAATACCTGGGGCCTAGCATCACTGAGATGGTCCCATCAGATGAGCTCAGTGCCTGGTTACAAATACCAGGGGCTGCAGAGGGTCCCCGGGAGTTGGTGGTAGAGCCCTCATCCCCTGGCATTGTGTTGCTTGCCTCCCTCTGGCCCAGAGGCTGAGGTCTGGCCCCTGGGCCTGCTCCTTTCCTTCCCTGGACTGGGATCCTGGAGCCAAAGTCCAGGTCTGAGTCCATTATGCCCTCAGGCGATGTCCAAGTTGGGCTTGCGGCAGATCCAGGGGGTCACCAGGATCACCATCCAGAAGTCCAAGAACATCCTCTTTGTCATCACCAAGCCTGATGTCTTCAAGAGCCCAGCCTCAGACACCTATGTGGTCTTCGGAGAGGCCAAGGTCCCGACGGGGTGGGGGGGCTGAGGGAGGAATGACGGGTGGGGCGGGTGCTGGGGACAGAAGTTGCTCACGCTGTACCGGGGCTGCAGATAGAGGACTTGTCCCAGCAAGTGCACAGAGCTGCTGCTGAGAAGTTCAAGGTGCCTGCAGAGCCCTCCACTCTGGCCCCAGAGTCTGCCCCTGAGCCTCAGGCGGGGCGCAAGTGCGAGGAGGAGGAAGAGGAAGAGGACAAGGTGAGGCCCGGGGTGTGGTGCCCGGCCAGCAGGGCAGGCGGCAGGGCTCTGCAGCTGGGGGCGCAGCAGGGGCGGAGGGAGAAGGCACACGGCTCCAGGCTCTTCCTTGCTTGTCTCCCTGCAGGTGGACGAGGCCGGGCTGGAGCTACGTGACATTGAGCTGGTGATGGCACAGGCTAGCGTATCGAGAGCCAAGGCCGTGCGGGCCCTGAGGGACAACCAGAGTGATATAGTCAACGCCATCATGGTGAGCCGGTGGCCCCCTAGACACACTGCTGCTCTGCTGGGCCCCTCCAGCCTGACTCTCACTTCTGCATTTCTTGCAGGAGCTGACAATGTAGCCACTGACCAGTACCTGCCTTCACCCTGCCCCCCAGCTCTGCTGCTCAATAAATGGGTGTCACTCATCACTTCTCTGCTCCTGCTACAGCTGCTCCCCCAGTGCAGGTTCCGGCTAAACAGATGAGATGTGAAGATGCTTTCTGGAGTCACCCAGCACCCAGGGAGTGTGGTGGTCTAACCCAAGCCCTCAGAGGGTGGTGGGTCCTCCCTTCCAGACTCATTTCCCATGGCACCCTACTTGTCCAAAGATTTCAGGTCACCTGGTCATCTGGCTGTGGCCCAAGGAGTAGGGAACGAGCATTTGGGGAGAGAACTCCTCAGAAGCAGAAGGGCTCTTGGTTTCAAGGAGGCGCGTAGGGCTGAAGATGCCACAGGAACACTGCGTTTGTTCAGGAGACAGTGCAGTTAACCCCCCGAACAATTTGTCCCTCATTGCATCCACTTCTAGAGGGAATTATTCCAAGTCCAGGAACTGGTGATGAGAGGCCATGTCCCAGGACCAGAGGGTGGGATCATGAGCAGGTGGGAGCCCCCGAGGGGAGGGAGTGTCCCTGACAGTGCCAGACCCACCTCTGCTCACATGGTCATCCTGTATGGCCTGCTGAGGCCCAGGGTGGCCCTTGAAGACTGGCCTCTAGCATCTGTGACGATCTTTAGTCCCTGCAGATACTTCAGTCTGTCTGTGTGCACTTGTGTTCATACATGTACACAGAAGTCTAGAAACTGCAACAATCAAGTGTCTCCTTTAGTTTTCCTTGCCAGGCCCACACCCAGGTATCTGTCCAATCCAGAGTAAAGCCTGATACCTTCTCCCACCCTATCTGTCCACGTCATCAGAAGTGCCGAAGGGACACTGCAACCCCTCTGAGCCCAGGGCTCCGTGCCCACCTCCCCCAGGAGCTCCCCATGTGCATGTCAGGGGCCGCTCATGGCAGAAGCTGCCTTCTGCGTGAAGAGGGAATCCTGGCCTTAGCCTCCCATGCCTGCGCTGCAATATCTAGGCACCAGGCCCATATCATGGCAGCCCTGCCCTGGGGTCCAGGAACCTGTCACCTCCACTGCCTTCCTGTGTCCCAAGGACACAGAGGGAAAGGGGGCAAGACCAAATGGAATCCAGGCCAAGATGCCAGGAATGGGTGGGAAGGTCTGGTGCTCCCCTGAAAACTAGGACCCTGGATTCCAGGACAAAAGTGATAGCCCTTTGGGCTTGGGGTTCAGGTAGTGCCTTCCCCTCTAGGGTTTGCTCTGGGATGGCACCTGAAGCTGTCAGGTGACTTAGGAGTATAGGATTTGGGCTTGGAGGGCAGGCAGCAACCCTTAGAGATCCATGCACAGCCCAACAGTGACAGCCTGGTACTCCCCCCATACCCCAGGGGAGAGCACTCCTGCCCCATCCTCAGGGTCCCATGTCCACAAAGCAAAAGCACAAATCAGGTCCTTCCCATGGCCTGTCACCACCTGTGCCACCAAGTCCATCCCAGCTCCCAGCCCAGCTCTGGGCATGCTGGCTAGGAAAGGGGGCTATACAGACCCGTCTCACTGTCCTGGCTCTCAACGCTGTATGAGAAACACACTGGCAACCAGACAGTAAATTATTCACATTGCAGTAAACTTCTTTAAGGTCTCTGAGAGTTTCAATAGGTACATCATGTGCAAAACCAACCGCTGTCTGGGGTCCGGCAGCCAGGAACCCCTCTGGGAGCGGGGCATGTGCAGGCAGACAAGGCACAGCCTTCTGCCCCCACAACGGGGCCTGTCCCACAGCAGCTGCGCCCCTTCACAGTACAAGGCCCCGCGAGTCTGGAGCCCCTCGCCCTGTTTCAGCCCTGGGACAGGAAGGGCATGCCTTTGTGAGGTTCTGGGAGCCTCCTGGCAGAGTCAGGTCGAGTCCTGGTCCATGCTGCAGCCCAGTGCCTCGATGTCATTACTGATGTCCGAGATCATGCGGTCCCACTCGTCCCCCTCTGAGGGTGCGGACTGGTCGTCGGAGCTGCCCGCCGCCCTGTTCCCATTGGAGGTGGAAGTGGAGGTAGAGCTCATAGCCCGCCGGTACCTGCCGAAGCTGTCGGTGATGATGCCACGGCCGTCCTTCACCCCAATGGTCTCCAGGAAGTTCTCGAAGTGCTGGCTGTCTTTCTCGGGGATGAAGGGCCGCAGACCTGCAGATACAGCACACTTGACCTGGCATATCCAGCTAAGCATCAGCAGACCCAGAGGACCCTGCCAGTCCCTGGACCTTCATTCACCCAATTCCGTCAGGTGTGCCTCTGCATGGGGACATGCCCAAGAGCCACACCCTCCCCTCACTCCAGCAGGCCTCACAAATCACCCACTACATCAGCAGGAAAGCTGCTGTCCAGAGTGGTTTCCACACGCAGAGCTGATGCCAGAGCCAACAGCTCCCCAGAGTGGTGCCCGGCTCCCAAGCCCGCACTGCTGCACAGGCCCCGGCACAGCAGCGGGGCCCACGCGCTGCAGAAAGGCTGCTCACAGAGCTGGTGCAGCCGCCTGTCCCGGTAGTTCCCAACCCTGCGCACTGCGAACCCCCTGCAGACAGGCCTCCAAATTTAGGGGTGGCTATATGGGGGAAGATTTGCCCAGGGTGACAAAGGAGAGACTCAACAAATTCTCTCAGCCCAGCTCCCCTCCCATCTCTGGGGGCACAACCCCACCTCGTAAAGAGAGGTGCCCGCCTATCTGAGAACAAGATAGAAAGGAGCATTCAGACCCGGGGTCAGGGGCCTGGGACCTAAACCCAGGCTGGGTGATGGACTCCGAGGGACTAGCAAGGACTCAAGGCACAGGAGATCTGTCTGCTGGTCCTTTATACCTCCAGATGCAGAAAATCTTTGAGTGGGTGGAAGACAAGGGCAGGCAACATCCTTGGATGTTGGCGACAGAAGCGCAGAGTCCGTGGCCTCTACCAGTCACTATCAATCAGCAGTGTGCTCTTGGTGTCAGCACAAATAAGCTGTGCCATGGTCACTGGCTGCCATCTGTGCCAGGCCTAGAACGCCACACCAGCCATTCCCTCTGCCCCAGCGTGCTGAGCCAGCAGAGGCTGGTCTCTCTGCCTAGAAATGATGTCTTTGAGTCTCCACCTAGCAAACTCCTCCTCACTCACCAAAACCTCTGCAGACCCTTCCGGGGCCCTCACTGGCAGCATGTGCCCCTCACTTCTCTGAGTCCCACTCCCCTGGGGCCCTCTCTGGTTCCCCAGGTCTTCCTACTCAGTGGTGAGTCCTCCAACCAGAAACAGTTGGGTCACGCTTTCAGCGCATGTCTGGCTGGAGCCCCCACTCCTACTAGGGCCCACCCTCTACTTCAGCTGCCCTGTGCATTCAGGGACTCACCCAGCAACAGGAACTTTCGGCTATCCCCGTAGAGCTGCCGCAGGTTGATGCAAAACTCATGCACTGAGGCCCCATCGCGATACTCATGCAGCAGTGCGGCAAACTGCTGGATCTCCTGCGACGAGAGCTTTGTGCGCAGCTGCGAGAGAGCAGGCCATGCGGGCGGGCGTGATGACCACGGTGACAGCACTGCTCTGCCCCGACCTGGCCTGCCTGACACCAGTAGACAGTTCCCCCATCCTGGTGGCAGGAGAACCTGTGGAGCTCCCAGCTGCCCTGATCTGCCCTAGAGGGAAGCACACCCTACGCGGCTGCCAGCTGTCTTCCGGTTCCTGATGCCATATAGAGACAAACACGTAGGCCTGGAAGACTGAATTTTTCAATGGCATGGCCATGTGACTCAAGGGACAGGAGATAAGCAAAGAGAAGGCCCATTCCAGCCCTCCCAGAGTGACCAGGCTTTTCTGCCACCACTCCCGCTTCTACTCCTTGCACCAGAGACCCAGGCAGAGGTCTGTGGCCCAGCCCAGCAACCACAGCAACCCCTACAGTAGGTGTCACCCAGCTCATCCTCTCCCCAGAGATTGTCCCAGTGGGGAAGGCGATGCCTGGCTACTACAGCCAAGGCGTGAGGCGCCCTACTTACTCGCCTCCCCTACCGAGCAGAAGCAAGCTCTCCTTTGCCTCCTCTCTCTTCTCCCCCTCCTCCGTCACCCCCTGCGCCACCCTCAGGAGCTTCTACAACCAAGGCACCCGGGGCCCCACGGCTCAGGCCACAGGCGTGTGTACCGTCTGCATGTAGTCCTGGAGCAGCTCGGCGGCTGTGGCGCTCAGCTCACTCTCACTGACGGTCTTGGCATGGGGTGATGTCTGCATGCAGAAGGACAAGGGCGAGACACCGCCTGTGTGCACACACTCAGGGAAGGAGCTGTAAGGACACGAGTGTGTGGGTGCTGGCTCCTCAGGGCCCCTGCCCTGATGCCTGTATCCCAGACCTAAAAAGTCCCACTTAGTCCAGGGGTGCACCCAGCAGTGGGAATAAAGGAGGTTACAGGCAAGGGTTGTTAGCTTGCCTGGGCATAAGACTGACTCTGAGAAGAGGGGAGCCCTGCTGGTGGAGGGAGGGGTTAGAACCAAGACAGGGACACAATGGCACAGCAGAGAGCTAAAAGTAACTGGGAGCCCGTCAGGGTCTCTAGCAGAGAGTGACATAACCCCCATGACCGAGAGCCCATTCACTGGAAGGTATGTGAAGACTAGACGGGGAGGGGCTGAGGGAAGGTCGCGGTCAGCCCTGTGGTCACCAGTGGGCCTCTCACTGAGGAGGTACAGCTGGCCTGGCTGGAGGGGCAACGAGGAGGCTGCCGACAGGGTACTCACAAAGTGCTGGCTTCCGTCTCATAGGGCTCCTTCATGTCCACTTTGGTGGAAGAGTCATCTGGGGGAAGAGCACGAAACGGAGGAGGCATGGAGGTCTAGCCAAGTTGGAGAGGATACCCCAAAGGCCAAGGATCTGAAGCTACATGGTGGCCTGTCTGGAGGTCACAGGGCCTTTGTCATTTGTCTCCTAGGACATGGGCAGGCATCATGCGGTGCCGTTTCAGAGGAGGGATAAAAGCAGTTGTATAACTTGCCCTCTGTCACACAGCTGGTGCGTGCAAAGCCACATGTGGAAACAGGAGACTCAGAGCCCCAGCCCAGACCCAGCCAAGCTCCAGGTGTGGATAAGCCGCTCCCTGGGGTGACAAAGCCAGGATGCCCGAGACCCTGAGACCAGCAAAAGGTCTGGCATCAGCAACGACTCAGGAAGCACTGGGTAACGATGGAAGGTCCATGTGCCATAGACCACAGGGACATTTAAACTGTATCGTGTGAAGTGAGGGAGCTTCAAGAGACAGGCAGGTGAGGGTGTAGGCGTGTGGGAGAGGGAGGTGGTAGTGGAAGTGAAGTAAGTCAAATGTAGGGCAAGAGGGTGGGGGGTGGAGGCTACTCCACTGCTGACTTTAAAATAGGGTGGTCACAGGTCCTTTGAAGTGAAAGGAGGGGCAGAGAGCCAGAGGAAGCTATCACAGGTCAGAGAGATGCTGTGTAACCAGCTGTGAAGATGGAGGAAGGGTACAAAAGTTGAAAAGGGCAGGAAGTGGCTTCTGCCCCGGAGCCTCCAGAGGACACCGCTCTGCTGGCACGTTGATGTCAGTCAGTGAAGAACTCTAAGAAACTAAATGTGTGTAGCTTAAACTGCTCGGTTTCGACGATCTATGACAGCAGAAGAGAATGCACAGTAAGAAGGGCCCGAGGGCAGAAATGCAGGAGCGTGTGGGTGCCCGTGTGAATGCTGGTGCAGGTGTGCGAGTGCGCGTGCTTGCGTGACTGTGCTGTGTGTGCATGTGAATACGCAATGCAACCTGCACGCGCACGCTGCTGGGTGTGCGTGTTGGCACTGCTGGTCTGCACTGTGAGCGAGCGTGCATGAATATATTGAGTTGTGTGTATATATGTGCGACTGTGTGTAATGCATGTGTGTACACACATGTGTGAGAGCATGGGTGATGCATATGCACGTGTGGAGACCTGACCTAAGGGACACAAAGAATAGCCAAGTAGAGAGGCCAGCCAGGAAGGAAGCCCCCTTAAGAAGTTCAGGTCAGAATTGTTTACTTTGAGAAAACTCATTCAACTGTACACTTAAGATTTACATACACTTTAGTACAAGTCCTTACTTAAAAAAAGACCTTGGGTCCTCCCCAGTGGCAAACAGGGTTAAAGTGCAGCACTGTGATGCTCTGGACAGTCTGCAGCATGAGTTCAATCGCTGGCCGGGGAGGTGACCCACATAGCACAGCATGTGCCTGTCCCACTGCTCCCCTTGGCAGTGTAGTTCAGTCTATCTACCTGTTCTTTTCTCCACTCTGTCTCTGTTGAATCCTCTCACCCCACTCTGGCCTGTACCCCAGTTCTTGTATGCATAAAAAAATAAATCTTTAATTAAAAAAATATCCTACTGGGAACTTAATTGTATATGGACTGAATGAATCACTGTACATTTGAATGTTTAAATGTGGCTGGAAAAACCACCTGCTACTCACTGGACAGGTCACTGGACTCGGCCTGAACCACCCTGCCGTGAGGGCACAGCTCACTAGCCGAGGCTCTCACCAGCTCTCTACTCCCACAAGAGCAGCAGAAGAGGGCAAAGATGTGGTCCTGACTTAGCCCCTTCCTCAGAGAGTCCACTTAGTAGACACAGAGGAGGACTGTCCTCAGCTTTACCTCCTCCCTGATGGGTGAACACTAAGGAGGGCAGAGGGCTGGGACTTACCCCAGGGAAAGGCCACCCTGGCAGCAGCTGCACTGCCTCAGTATCTTTCTGTCCCTCTGACAGAGACAAGTCGTGAATCCTCAAAAAACCATGCGTCTGGCAACAAGGTGTTTAGACTGAGTGAAGTGGGCTGGGTATGGATGGTTTTGTGTGCACTAACAGACGCCTGGAAATGCTTCAAGGAGAAGCCAGTGTGGGAGGCAGCGGCATGGTGGTTCCCACTGCTGGCCAGCCTCGAGGGCTGCTTTCGCTTCCTCCCACATACTACCTCTGCTGCTTCACCCTGGAAGGGCCCTTGCATAGAGAGCAGCTGAGGTCTGGGCACTGCAGAAGGAAGGCTCCTCACACTCACCTTGCTCCCAGCCCCCAGCCCCATAACATGCTCCAGAGTACTATGCTCGCCCTTTGTTCGGCGTTGGGTGAAGTGATTTCAGTCATATGGTAAATGTTCATAGCCCCCAAGGTCATGCACAAAGCCACCAGGCCTTTGTGCTCAAAAGCACACAGGAAGGGGAGAAGTGTGTGTCTGCCTTGACTAAATCTGTGGAATAATGCAAACAGGAAAGTCTCGAAACAAATGGCAACAGCATCACTGCATACCAGTGCCGCCAGGCTGCTGAGTTCACTGCAGAGCCTGGGAAGTTGAGCCCCTGTTCCCCACCCTTTCACCCAACATACCACTGTGAAGGGATAGGTGGTGGGTGGGTGTCGAGGCCCCATCAAATATGGCTCTGTCCAGAAAGTCGATGGTGGACTCCGTGTATACAATCTGGAAGACTTGCCCAAGCAGGGAGCACAGCTCTTCCGCAGCAACCTGCCAAGTTGGAGGGGGGAGGGGAAAGAACGACAAAGCTGTGCCTTTCTAAGCAACTTCCAGGACACCCAATGCATCAGGTGCTGAGCAAACAGCAGAACCACGTGTCCTCTGCTTTCTACCACCAAAGAGCCAAGAGTAGCCCAGCCCACTGCCAAGATGCTGTCCAGATCCAAGGGTTAAGGGCCCAGGTGTGACTGTCCTCTCCCCACAGCCCTAGACCACCAACATCCTCGAACAGGTTTGGGAAGGGGGGCAGGGAGGAGGGACAGCACCCAGGGCAGCCTGAGGGACAGCTTTCCCAACTGCCACAACAACTTCACATGTGTGCCGTCTGTGGAAGCAGTGTCCTTGTAGGGCAGTTCAGTCCCAAGGGCTACAGGGCAATGTCTGGATAAACAGATCAGATTGGTAGCCTCTGGGTAGCTGAGGAGAGAAGGATTCCTCAGAGCGGAGGAGAGACTCAGCAAAAGAAGAAAAAATAAGCACAGCTAGAGCAGTTCTACTCTGTGGGTTTTGGTGAGTTGTGGGCAGGGCTGGGCCTGGGTGTGGGTGCGGACGAGCCGAGTGTGGGCACAGCCTCAGTCAGGAGGAGGAGATCTGGCAGGTTGTGGGCAAAGCCCCAGGTCCTCACCCCGTCTCTCACCTTGCTCTCTGTGGCCAGGATGACCAGGCAGCATGCCTCCACGGGCCCTACTCCACTCTCCGACAGCGAGCCTGCAGTGAGGCCTCTGGAACTTTCTGCACACAGACTCTGGCTGGGGGAGATGCCGGGGTCCTGGGCTAAGAAGTTAATACCACAGCTGGTTAGGGTAGTTGTGGGAACTTAACAGTAGCTTATGGACTGCTCCTTATGGTTCAGTGTGGGAGATGCCTATCTCCTGAAACACTCCTTCCCGCACCTTCTTTAAGCAAGGGACAAGGACAGCTGACCACCTTCATGCGCCTCAGTCACTGCCTGCTGCAAATGATGACCTCTGTTACCTCCTAGCATGCTTGTCAAAAATAGCACAAATATCTCAGGCTGACACACAAAATTACTGATAGGCAGTGGCTTTTGACTTACACAGAATCACAGGCTCCCAGTTTATGTGTGATGGGCTAGCAATACAATCCTGACTTAAGTGGGGAAACTGAGCCACAGGAGAACAAGGCCCAGGCCCTGGGGTGTGTGTCGGACTGTCCCTGTTGTTAACACTACCTCCTTGAACAAACAAGGTCTGGGGGGACACGGGTCAATTATATGCCTGCCTGAAGCAGCAAGGGTCCCCCAATCTGGGGAAGCTTCTGAAGGAAAAGGGCCCTGCAAGGGAAGCTGAGTCCTTCTAAGGCCAGAAGACCCTGGGCCTACACTGCCCCGTGGTGGCCCTGGCAGTAAGCCTGGAAAACACAGTCCATACTAAGCTGTTCTCTACACTCAAGCTACATGTAGGCATGTAGGGTCTCAGAAAGTACAAAGAACATGGGCTATCCCATTAGTAACTTTTGTAGTCACTATATGCTAATGGGTATTTTGAATACAGAGAGCCAAATACATTAAATTGACTTCACTTGTTCCTTTTTATTTATTTATTTTTTTAACATGACTTAGAACATCTTAAGTTAGCTCTGTGGCTCATCCTTGCGGCTAGGCTCCAGGAAGCAGGTATGCAGCGTAATGGACTCGCGCCCAGCGAGTCTTTCAGTGAGCCCACTTCTGCCCTCAGCAGCATCCAGCAGCATCTAGCCAAGGGCACTTCTACCCCCGGTCACACAGGTCACTGCTGCGTTCCGCCACCTGCTGCCTACATCCTCAGAAACATCCTTTTACAAGATGTCTCCACGGTCTGTTCCATCCTGGTACAGACAGGTGTCTGGTCACCCCCCTCCGATTCAGTCCTGTCACTGGAACCTCCCACAACCACATCTGATTCCAACCCACCCTCCCCAAGTTGCCCTAAATGCCAGCACATCCTGGGCCCAAGGGGCATACAGATGAGCCTGCGTGTAGGCGCCCCCTAAACATTAGCTCTCACTGTCACCATCTGGGTTGAGGTCGTCCAGTCCACAGTCTCATACACAGCACATCTGACACACAGAGGAGCCTCAGAGACACGAGGGAAGTCAGCCTTGCTCACAGGCCTCAAAGGCTTCCCTCCAGGTTAATCTGTTAAAGAGAAGCAGAGAGCCCCTGGGACACAGGGCTTCATCCTCTTCTTTTAAAGCAAAAGTTCTCAAAGCCCTGAGTCCTGGTTTCATATGTTTTTGGAAAGAGCCCCCTATCTTTTAAAAGTCCGTCACTCTCTTCTTTAGAAATCCGTTCTAGTGATCAATGCTCAGAGACGTCCTCAGCAAAAGAACCAAGTGGACCACTTCCCCGAGCCCATCTGCTTAAAATGTGCCAAATAAGCAGCCACTCTCCCTATTCCTGTCCCTCCCTAAGGATAACCTAAACCTTGCTCCTTCTGCACCACATTAGGAGTTGGCACTGCCAGGGAAGCAGTGCTGTGTGGTCGTTACAAAGCCAGGTCCTAAAGCCCATCAGTACCAATACGTAGGTGCCAACTTAGGCACCTTTGCAAGTCACTTGACCTGTCTGCTTCCAGTTACTCATCACAGTGGAAGAAAACTATTTACTGTAGAGATGACATAAGACAACTCAGGTCAAATTCTCTGTACTAGCCTGAGTCATTAAACTGAAAGTTTTAAAGACTAATATAGTTAAATATGGGAAGTTTCATGTTGTTTAGCCTAAAACTGCCTGTCAGTAAACCAGAAGATGCTCGCTGAATGTGAGGAAGGGAAGGCGGGGGAATATCAGAACACAGAGATCTGGCTCTGGTCAGAACAGAGATGTGTGTGTGTACATGTTCTGAGTAGTATGAGTGAAGTGTGTGTGAGTGTGAATAAACGAGTGCAAGTCAGAGGTGTGTGAGCATGTGACTGTTGTATGTATACGTGTGAATGTATATAAGTGGTATTGTGTGTGAGAATGTGCAGTCTGATACAACTGGTGTGTGTGCACGTGGATTAGTGCTGAGAATGCAAATGAATGTGTGTGGGTGGTACGCACAATGTGCAAGTGCACATGTGAATAAGTTGTATGAGGGAGTGTGTTACACATGCGTGGGTGGGTGCAGGGCGTGGCTGAATGTGTGTGTGAGTGTGGGGGACACGCACGGGTATGAGCATGTATTCATTAATGTGTGTGTGTGTGTGTGTGTGTGTCCCAGGGGAGGCCTAAGCCAGAGTTGCACCCAGCAGTGGGGCTGTGACTCTGGTGCCATCACAAACCATCCAGGGGTACCTGTGTGGCGCGCAGCTAACACTGTCTGGCGCATGCCCAATCTCAAGGGGCCTATGATGAGAATGCTCACTGGGGCTCTGTTCTTAGGGCCCTGGATCCCCCATGAACTATGGACCTGAGACAGAAACACAGGCTTCCAGCCACACTCCCTTAAGTACAGTGTGTGACCCAAGCAGTACCCTCACGCCCTGCCACTGGCCAGCCCCCTGCACTGGGCAAAGGTGCCCAAGACATGCTGGTGTTGCAGTGCTCCCAGCGTGTCACTGCAAAGGAGACAGTGTGAGTGAAGCCATAACTCTCCTCATTTCTCAGTGACTTCAACACCAAAGGGGAATCTGCAGAACCTGGCAGGCAGTTGGTCTAGGATTTAGGTGGCACCTATAGTTAGGTGGCACTGCACTGTCACTGCCAGGTAAGGACAGTGGGTTAAGTAAAGGTAGCTGACAGCTGGTTCAAGGTTATTTCCAGTTCTCCTACAGCACAAACGCAGAACATCTCCTAGACTGAGAACACCCTGGCAGCCTGGTCCTATCTGTGCAACCACTGCTTTGGGAAGACTAGGTGACCAAAGGCGAGGCCCACACCCTAACCCCATCCAGAGGCTTCAGCGCTCTGCTCTCGGCGCACCACCACACCCAGGCACCGGGGGATGTACCACCTTCCCAGAAAGAAATGCACCAAGCAGAAAGGCTGACCCACAAAGTTCTGAGCAAAAGTAGTCAGGCTTGGCACCTATTCCTCACAACCTCCTAGGTCTCACAGCCCTCCTCTGGCCAAGGCTCGCCTCAGAAATAGGAGGACACATTCTTGGGCATGACAGGAAGCAACAGCTGACCAAAAACTGCCTCCAGACCTTCATTACATCCGTGAACTCATACCTCAGGAGAAAGATAGGAGCTGTTTCTGCCCAACAACCCTCTGGCCCCCAACCCTCTGACCCCACTCCCAGGTCTGTACCTGTCTTCAGGATCACCAGGTGTGAGGCGTCATCCCGCACATAGGACACGGCAGCAATGTCATGGATGGGGACCCTGAGGATGGTGTCCTCCCCATCTCTCCAGGCCAGTTTGACATTGTAGGCAGACAAGCTAATCACAGCATCGTGTTCCTGGGTTAAGTGGCCGGGGAGCTGGTGGGCTCTCTGGAAAGAACCACAGAACATCAGAAACGCAGGGTCTCATGTGCTGGCAGATGCCTACCTGACCAGGGTAACTGAGGGGGCAAGTGCTGGTGCCTTCAGGGCAGTCACCCCTACTGCAGGGGCGCAACTGTATTCAAACTTTTAGGTTCAAACCTAAGGCATGTGCTTTGGAACATCTTAAATGTGAATTCTGGGACCAGCCCAAGAGCACAAGGAGAAAGTTAAGACTGAGAACAGTCTATAGCCAAGAAGCAAGTGTACCCCCACCACATAATGGAACTGAATCATCCCTCACAGCCACAAGGGCCAAGGGTCAGAGTCAGCAAGCTGGTGCCAGAGAAGGAGAGCTGGAGGGCAGGGCTGGGAGGACAGAGTTAGGAGGATGGGATTACCTTTGCATTGTCTATGAAGTGCAGGATTTCGGTCCTACTGGAGGGATTCAGGTATCCTGGTATGGACGTTAACTGACCTAAGTACTGAAAGAAAGTGTAGAGAGAAAGTGCCATGAGAAAGGGAAGACCGGTCAGCACTGTCATGGACCCACAGAGAGCACAGCAGGAGCCTGCCGCCTGCCCACCATCAGGCCTGCGGGCCTCAACTCTGGCCCAGAGGCCTCCTCTGAGAAGCGCACTCCCAACTCTTGGTGAATCTCTCACCCTACTATACTGCAGCTGATGCTGCCATCAACTGTCCTGCATAGGAAACTGAACCCCAAAAGAACCAGTAAGGACAGAGCACAAGAGGCTGTGAATGTGGTCACAGCGGTGTCAGCGGTGTTTGTGATTCTGTCTCATGTGGTTTTCTTTCATAATTTTCTAATTCAGGCAGACAGAAAAGAATCTTAGAGCCTTCGGTAGATTCACAGTCCTTTAATGCTTAAGCAGGAGACCAGGTAGAGGCAGACCAGTGAGGAGATAGGCAGCTGAGTGATCTCCATGCTCTCTCTCTGGCTTCTCTCCCCTCTCTCCTAATTTGCTTCTCAAGCCAGGTGTCTGTATTTACATATGCACATGCCCTATACCTACTAAGCCTTTTGCAACCATACTCTATCACGTGGAGGTAATGAAACCTGGGAGGAAAACAAGGCCTCAGCTAGTGGCTATGGAGGTTAGTGGCCAGAGAAAGACAGCCTCGGCCACTCTGTTTTCCTTACAGTCGCTATTGAAGAGGGAGATGGCAAGTCCTCATTTGCATCCTCACAAGAAAAGGGCTATAAGAAACTGAAAACTAACCACTCTTTTTCAATCCATCAGAGAACATGGTCACAGGGCAGACTGCTGTGCCTCCCACCCCCACCCCCACCCCATCCAATGGAGAGTGACAGGGGCAGGGGAATCCATAAGAGATAGTTCTGCAGGAGCAACAGGAGGGTGATGACCAAGCATTGCATTGTGGGCTGGGTGAGCTAGAGAGGAAAACAGGACTAGTACTACAGAGCCCACACTCAGTTCTTTGTCAGTGTCCCTCTGAGATCTCAGAGTGAAGACTAGAGAAAAATCCCCTCCTGCTTCCAGCAGGAAGAATCATTTAAAAGCATGTTTAACAAGGACCTTTCCTTAAGGGAAATCATTACCAGAGCGCATGACCCACCCTGGGGAAGGGAGTACTTAACTACTTAACTACTCTCCAGCCCTTCTAGACTTTCCATCTCTCCTAAAAAAGAAAAAAAAAGTGAGAGGCCCATATGCCAGTCACAGCCCAGAGCACAGGCTCACGGGTGGACTGAGAGACCTGCCAATCACAGGCCTCCCCCACACCCCACCAACCAGTTTCAGTGTGACAGATGACGTATCTCAGACCCTATTTAGTCCCAACACCACAGCTGCAGCAACTGACCCACACAGCCTACACCCTGGCCAGATAAATAGTCTCACACTGAAAGCCTATTTACCACAATTCCTTACACCTGAAGCATCAAGTTCACCTGTCAACAAAATTACAAGTCAGGCTGAAGGACAGAAAGAATTATTTGAATAAATAGGTTAAGCATCAGAACAAAACTCAGATAGAGCAGGGATGTTGGATTTATGACACCAGGAATTTTAAAACAACTATGATTAATATACTAAGGGTCTAATGGAAAAAGTGGATAGCATGTAAAAACAAACAGGTAATATAAGCAGAGAAGTGGGAATTCTAAAAAAGAATCAATGGGAAACACTACAAATCAAAAGCACTGTAACATAAATGAAGAATGCCTTTGAAGAGCTCCTCAGTAGAATGGACACAGCTAAGGAAAGAGTCAGTTAGCTTGGGGACATGTCAATAGGAACTTCCAAAACTGAAAAGCAAAGAATGGAAGAAAAGGAATAGAAAATCACAAAACTGAGAGACATCTTCAAAAGGTGTAACATGCACCAGCAGGAGAAGTGAAAGAAACAAAGCAACAGTGACTATCAATTTCCCAAATTAATGTCAGACAATATATCACAGATACAGGAACTGCAGAATGAAAGCAAACAAGATAACAAAAAGGAAAAAAAAAAAAGCCTACCTACATCTTGTCTTGAAAAAAATCTTGAAATACCCTACAGAAAAAAATTACCTTTACCTACAGAAGAGAGGGTAAGAATGACACTAAACTACTCAGAAATCCTGCAAGTATGAAGAAGAATGAAATAAATTGTTGAAGGTCAAAAAAAGCCAACCTACAACTTAAACACAGTGATATTATCCTTCAAAAGCAAACAAAAAATAGATTTTCTGAAACCAAAATTGAGTGATTTCATGGTTATCTAGCAAAAAATGTTAAATGAAGGCCTCCCTGGTGGCACAAAGATTAAAGTCCCAGCGCTGTCAAGCTATATTGCCACTCACTGCAGCCTGAGTTCCATCCCCAGCAAGAGAGCTGATCCACCTAGGCAGCAGACTTCTGTCTTGCTTGCTGCTCCCCTCAGCAGTGCATTTCAGTCAATCTACCTGTTCTGCTCCCTACTCTGTTTTTGGTGAATCCTCTCAACCACCCCTCCCACCCCTCAGACTACACCCTAGTTCTTGTATGCATAAATAAATAAAAATAAATCTTTTTTAAAAAAGTTAAAGAATTTATTGAGATAAGAAAAATGACTGGGTAAGAAACGAATCTTCAAAGAGGGAAAATGTTAGCAGAAATAACTAAGGGTAAAAGCACCTTTTATTTTTCTTATTTTAACTTACCTAATAGGTAACAGTTCAAAATGAAAATAGTAAAATGTATTCGATGAACAGTACATGGGATAAGTGAAACGAGTAACAGCAATTATGAGGAACATGGAGGAACTGGGACTACAGATGACTCTGAACAAGGTGAGGGGGAGGGTCAATGAACCATGTGATTTCTTTTTTTAAGTTGGGGAGATGAACTACTCAGAGATAATTAGCATCTCAAGGCATCTTAAGCAGATGCTCTCTAACATACCACCAACAGCAAAAGCAAGTGGCGGTGAAACTATTACAATAGCACAGGATGTACTGGTTACTTTAAGACAGTTACAATTTAACTGTCTTAAATGCATTTTTACATTTGTTTACACTGAAGACTGCAAGTCTATTTCACACCACCTCTCTTACTCTCTGCCCACTGACACACATCTCCCCACATTTCACAGAGAAAACTCACAGCAAAAGTACACATTATCTCAGCTTTCATATATTACAAAATGCTATGCCTCTGCTGAATTTTTTCCAAGATTTTTTTCCTTCCTCCCTCAAGTTCTGCTTCCTTGGACAGATTTAACAATAGCACTGGAAGTGATGTGAATAAAGTTTCCTATAATAAATGCCTATAAATTTTTTTTCATTTCCCCCTTAGGCATACTTAGTCTACCCCAAGCAGATCATTCTGAGTGCAGAACTGTGTGTGCACAGTTCTCAAAGACAATTACCATGTAATAAAATATTCAATTCAAGGAGGGGGGTAGTTTTAGATTTCGTCTTCTCATAAAGAGAGAGAATAAAATAAAACTGTATGTTGGTTTTCCCACTATCTACAGGGCTCAGACTCCCCTCTGACAATCAGAGGCAGTTAAAGAGTTTATAAACCATTAAGTTATACAAACAGTGTAACAATATAGAAGCAGAACATTTAACTGCTTGCTCATTCTTAACTAATTACCTATTAACATTCCAAAATGTTTCCAAAGATCTGTTCCCTGAGGGTTCTCCACCCTTATTTGTTCATGTAAATCAAATGCAGATGCTTGCTTACATTTCACTGTTAAATGCCATCAATTCTTCCTCTTAGTCCAGGAAGTTACTACAAAACTACAATAACCAAAACAGCATGGTACTGGTATAAACCTAGATATATAAACTAACAGAATAGAATAAAAAGCCCAGAAATAAAAATTCATCCCCACCCCACCCCACCATGGTCTGTTCATTTTTTAACAAAGGTGCCAATACTACCCACTGGAGAGAGAAGACTTTTCAACAAGCAGTGCTGTACCTTTAACAGCACAGACAAAAGCTAACTCAAGACCAAGTGCCTAAATATAAAACCTCAAATTGTAAGATTTTAGAAGACGTTGGATATTTGCGATGATCTTAGCTATGACACCGAAAGTACTGAAAGTAAAAGAAACAGATAAGCTGGACTTTATCAAAACTAAAACCTTTTATATATGAAGGGTACAATCAGTAGAGTACAACCGTGTATCTAATATGGAATTAAAATCCCTAACTATAAAGAACAACAAAAATCTGATTAAAAAACAGATTTACATGGGCTGACTGGTGACACATGGGGTTAAAGCACAGCAGTATGAAGTTATCCATAGCCACAGCAGCACAAATTCAATCCCCAACCATGAAGGTGACCCACCTGGTGCAGCAGACCTCTTGTCTCACCTGCTTCTCCCCTATCCGTGTATTTCAGTAGATCCGCCAGTTCTGTTCCCCACTCTGTATCTGGTGAATCCTCTCACACACACCTCCCTCCCCCCTGCACCTCTGGCCTATACCCCAGTTCTTGTTTGCATAAATGTTATCTTTTTAAAAAACAGATTTGCATAGATAGTTCTCAAAGACTTAAACATTTCTTCAAAGAAGACATACAGATAGCTAAAAAGCATGTGAAAAGATTTCCAATTTCACTGGTAATTAGGGAAATGCAAATCAAACCCACAATGAGATACCACTCCATACCCATTTGGATGGCTACTATCAAAAGAGAAAATATCTTGACAAGGATGCAGAAAAACTGGACCCCTTCTGTACTGCTGGTAGGAATATAAATGGTGGGGCAATATGGAAAAGAGAATTAGCTTATGATCCAGCAATTTGACTTCTGGGTATAGATGTCAAATTGAAAGCAGGCAATAAAACTCTTAGAAGAAAACACATGACAAAAGCTTCATGAGATTGGAATTATTAATGATTTCCTGGCTATAATACAAAAGACACAACAACAACAACAAAAATTGCAGTTTGAAAATTTTTAAATTTTGTACATTAAGAGATACTGTCCACACAGTAAAAGGGCAATCCACAGAATGGG